CTAATAAGCTTGTATGTATATATATATTAATATCCCCATCACATTATTATATAGGGCTTATATTTTGTATTGACACACTCTTCATCTATATTTTCATACATATTTTGTAATGTAAATTTATTTCTTGTCAATAATTAATTTGCATGATTGTAATGGGCCGGAGGCCATTATACAATTAATAAAAAAAAAAAAAAAAAAAAAATTATTATTAAACAAAAAAATTGGAAAAAAAAAAAAAAAAATTTAGAAAAATGGTTTTATGACCAAAACACAGATAAATTAAAAATGGAGTATAAACAAATATCTGTACTATTTTAAATCAATTGCATGCTGGATTTTCTTATTTTCGAGAGCTAAGAAGAGATGACGTACTTGATCAAGCGAACTGAGCTCAAACCATGGTACGACTTTTATTGACCTTCAACATCATGGTTTTATGATCTCCTTTCACATACGAAAAAAAAAAATCGATAAATTTATCTTGCCAGATATGCTTTAAAGTGACCTTTGCTATTAGGGCATTAAAATAAATGTTTATAGTCAATTTGTTTGCTAAAATCGTCATGCGTTAGTAAATTTTTATTTGTGTTAATTTATAATTGTTTGAATGAAATCTAAAATTTGCCTTTTTATTTTTTTCTAAAATATCAACTGATTGTGCGCAGTGACCAGAAACATAAATATTTTTTTTGGAGGCCTTATACTGATGAAATATGCATGAGTTATTCAAGCCAGTAGAAAGCAGATGTATATGACAGGGTAAAACCCCATTATGGATAATCTTTTGTTTAGTAACGACCATATGTACAAATGCAATCACAGGATGTTTGCACTGACGTTGACTACAACACTCTTGTCGCTGCCCATAGAAAATAAAATCATTTTTTTTTTGTACCATGTTTGTCATACAAAATGGATTGAGGCAATCAACAATCATAGTCGAGGCTATGCTGGCTCGTTTTAATGTCTTTTAAACTACGCCAAACATGATGTGAATAAGCAAACGAAGGAAAATCAATCTTGTATTATAAAGCTTTCGATGACAAACATGTTAATCATATTGTTTTCAATTAATTTTATTTTCAAAGTTAGGTAAATAAAAGTTTTTGATTTTAATATCCAAATGTTTTTAACATTAATAAACACTATGAGAAATTTTTAAGTATTGACCAGGCTCAAAAACAAAACAAATCTTGCTTCCTGGATAGTTTTCTTCAGACATATTTTGTGGAAATGTTTTTTTAGTGGCATCTGTCGCTGAGTGATGTTAACTTGGAGTGGGTCGATTATTTTATTATCGAAAAGCCAAATTTACAAAGCATCAAAAATCAACAAAATACAGTTACAGTTTTTACTGCGACACAGCCCTGAAGAAGAAAATACAAATGATGTAAAACTTGTGTATTAATACGCTGTGAAAAAATAGCGCTTTTCAGTATTTTGATGGATGTGGTTCCAAGTTGACAATCAAAGAGCCATTTGGGAATAATTACTGGTAAATAATTCTGGCGGGACATATTAATAGATTGTAATCTATCAAGTTATAATGATAAAAAAAATCTTTTTAGTTTACATGCACATCGAGCTGAAATATAGAGAAAGAACCGATCGACTGACATCAGTGAAATAATGAAAGGGAAATGTAGACCATGTGCAGGTGGATAAAAGTCAAAGATGATTGTCAAGTTTCTGTAACTAATGATAGTAATTATATAAAATATCTATGAATCATATCACAAAACATGCGGCTATGTTTAACTATTATCAATAAGTTTGTTTCTGAAAAACAACAAGTTGACAGGAAATGATAAAATGATTGATTCTGCAGTGACATTAAAGCGTGGTAGTCGTCGCGCTGCACATGTGCCACATTTGTGTTGATAAACATTGATTTTCCCACAATCCAATGCGCTCTTCAAATGGAAATCACAAGTATGAGGTTTGACCTGGGCGTGACTTGCACTGATTACCGCCGGCGACTCCTTCGATGCCTTTAAAATAACATGAAAATTAGTTAATTAAACCTTGGAAACGTCTCTGTTCGTACTCTTGACTTGACTACCGCGCTTTAATGACATTCAGTTTTTAGCTTTATACAAATTTGAAACAGTAAGAAAAAAAATATTTATTAAAGCAGCCTTCTTGTCTACACAGGTTATCTGATATTTTCCTAGTCAACACTCAGTGTTTGATATTTATATCATATTGTATCAAACACTCCCTCTGGGAGGAGAAAAAAAAAAATCACTTTTTGGTAGAAAATAAAAGATTTTTTAATTTCAACTTAATTTTTTTTTATAAAGCAGCTGATAAAAATGAAAGTAAAAATGTTGTAACAAATTAACATAATAAGCATACAAACAAAAGTGCAGTATTAAAATTGCTCGTCAATTTACGTTACTTTTTACTAAAATATAAAACGTTCCTAGTTATTTGTTTTTGACAAATATTTGATCAAGTCCTTTGACAGTATCTGGCCCAAAATTAA